GTGTGTGTGTGTGTGTGTGTGTGTGTGTGTGTGTGTGTGTCGGGGTGCCCAGCTGGATTCCAGCTGCTCAGGCCAATAACCTTGTCCTTCTTGCCTCCTTCCTCATAACCCACATCCAGTCCGGCAGGAAATCCTGTTGGCTCTTCTCAAGTCCAACCACATCTCAGCACCTCCACTCCCGCCACACTGTCACAACCACTGTCTCTCCCCTGGATACCTGTGGTGACCTCTTAAGTTCCTTACTCAACGTTGTCAGCATGTCATCCAGGGAAAACCATGATGGTCCAGTCAGCTCACCCCACTGCTCTGCTCAGCAACTTCAGAGAGAAAACCCCAGCCCTCCTTGACGGCCAGCTCCCCACCACCTGCCTACGCTGTGACCACATGAACTCCTGCCTGGTTTCTAGACGGCTGAGCACACCTGGTCAGCGCCGGCCGCCCCTCTGCCCAGTATGCTTTTCCCTCAGGAGCAGCCTGACTCACTTCCTTCATCCTCCAAGTTGTTTTGCAGATGTCACTTTTGCCATGAGGTCAATTGTTAGGGTTTAGATATAGGAGTGCCCCCCAAACCCTTCATTTCAGAGAAGGGGCTTCGAAAGGTGCCTGGCTGATGAGGAAGCTGTGTCACCGGCAGACTCATCCATGCATGAGCTCAGTAACTGCACGTGCCGTTAGGAGGTGGGTCACAGGGAGAGTAATCTGAAGAATGTATTCTTGTTCTGGGCCTCTCCTTTTTCTCTGCTTCCTGGCTGCCGTGCTGTGAGCAGCTCTCCCCTGCCAGGCCCCGCTGCCGTGCCATTTCTGCCTTGGAGCAGCCGACCAGAGACTGAAAGTGTGAGCCAGACAAACCTCCCCTCCTTTAAGTCTTGGGTGTTGGGTATTTTGTCCCAGCAACAGAAAAGTAAGATATGAACCATGATCATCTTAATTTCTTCCCTTCCCCATACCTTTGTTTTAATTTTTAAATCAGGCTAATGAGGTATAATTTATATACAATTAAACTCCCTCTTTTAAATGCACAGCTTGGAAAGTTTTGACAAATGCATACACAAGGTAGCCACCACCTTCATTAAGATACTGAACATTCCCACCATGCCAAGTTCTATTGTCTCCTTCACAGTCAACCCTTTCCACTACCCCCAGCTCCTGGAACCACTGTTTCTTGTTCCTATAGATTTGCGTTTTCTGGAGAATTTCAATAAATGAAATCACATTGTATGTAGCCTCCTGCACCTGGCTGCTTTCCCTGAGCCTAATGCACTTGGACCCATGTTGTTACATGCACCAGCCTGTTACGCTGGCCTGTTGAGAAGTATCTGTCATAAGGATGTATTGCGCTTCGTTTTCTATTCGATAGTTGATGAATACTGGGTTGTTTGCAAATTTTGGGCTACGATAAAGCTGCTATGGACGTGTGTATATGGGCATCTGTGTGGTCATGTGTTTTTATCTTTTGGGTAAATACCTAGTAAAAGAACTTTAGGGTTACATGAGTAGTACATCCTTAATTTTATAAGGAACTGTCAAAATGGTCTCCAAAGTATGTTTTTCATTCAGCGAGAGTTCTTATTGCCAACATTTGGAATTGTCAGTCTTTGTACTTTGCCTTTAATTAAATTTAGCCATTTCAGTGGGAGTGTCTAATTTTAATGTGCATTTCCATGACTAACAATGCTGAGCATCTTTTCATGTTTATTGGCCACCCTTCCAGCTAGAGCTTCACATGAACACTTTATATGCAGTGCTGACATCAGGTAAAGCAGCAAGGCGCCCTGGCGTGTGACATCATCACTGTGCCATGGCTTCTCTGCGTTAGTCTGTCGTGCCTCCTCCTCTGTGACACAGGGATAAGAACACTTTCTTCCTCAGGCATAAGGGGATTGTATAAGACATGTAAGAATTTACAATAGTCCCTGGCACATAGTGAGCACTTAAATTACATCCGGGATGACGACGGCGATGATGACGGTGAACCTCTACAGGACTTCTTCCTGTCACTCCCATTTCCCTCTTCAGAGTGTTTTCATCTGTAAATGATCACATGGGGGTGGGGAGCTGGAAATCTCTAGCTCTCATCTCCATAGTAGCATCCACCCAGTTGTTACACTTTTGACTGACACCCCCTTATGGGTCCCTTGCCCAACCCAGGGGCACCCGCAGGAGCCACCTGCCATGGGACACCAGTTACACACAGAAGGAAGCAGGAAACGGCTTAGGGCTCAGCTTCTTGGCTACCAAGGGGAGCATGAACAACTAGACGGCCCAGGGAAGATGGAGGAGACAGGATGACTTGGGAAGGGCAGTGCAAGACCAAGAGAAACAGGGAGGCTGGGGCCCCATTCCCTAGCCTGCAGCAGCTCACCACACTCTCCCCCCTACCCCAAAATTTCTTCCCAGGCAGCCCCACCGCTCTGCAGGGGACTGGCCTCCATCAGCCCCACTGTCAGCCCCTGACCCTCTGCAGGAAAGCCGGACCCCCAAAGGGACTGACTCAAGTCCCTGAGCCCCTCCACTGGGGGCAGTGGAGTGAGGAGGTGGGCAGGACTGGGAAATCAGCACACACAGATCTGGAGCTGGTGCCAGGGTGCTGAAAGAGAGAGAGGAGGTGGTGATGAGAGAAGAGTGCAGCAGCTCAGCAGGGCCCAGGCCACCAGCAGGGCAGTCCAGGGAATGGGGGTGGGGGAGTACAACTGCGGAGCTGAGCAGCTACAAGGCTGCAGAGCTTAGGAGCTGGGGTTCCATGAGCTCTGGAACAAAGCACTGGAGAGACATGGAAGCATCAAGGGGCAGGGGTGAATGTAGGAAGATGAGAGGTCAGGGGAGACAAACCTCTGCCCTTCCCGCCCTCCCACCCTTCATTTCCACTACACATGCTCTTCACACTCATTGTCACCTCCTTGATTGTGGACAGCTCTGCCCAGCCCATCCAGCCCCCAGGACCCACCCCCTAGAACTCCCTTGGCACCCTGGCCACCCCGTGCCTCCTCTGCTCTGGGCCAGCTACCACCTCGTGCTGCCCTCAACACTCACTGCCTCCAGGCCCCAGGACAGGGCCAAGTCCTCTGCTCCTGCATCCCCACCCCCACCCCGAGGACCAGTGAGGTCTGCGTAGGACAGAACGAGGCCACGTGTCTGCCTCAGCCAGCCCTGATCACCACTTGACCAAGCACCCTCTCTCCCCTGCGGAGACTGTGATGTCTGAAGGTAAGTACGTGTGTGCTGAGCAGTCGGGCCAGGCCCAGCCAGCAGGACTAACACCAGCAGTCACCCAGAGTGAGTGACAGGCTGACTCCCTCACTCTCTCCAAGGCCAGACCAGCTGGGACCAGCTGGAAAACCCAGGCGTCTGCTCCTTCTTCCTTGAGCAAACATGTTTTTGTTGTACCGGGGATCAAACTCAGGACCTCGCACTTGCCAGGCAGGTGCTATGCTGTTGAGCTAAATCCCCGGCCCTAGCAAACATGTTTTGAGTACCTTACAGATTCTGGAGTTACCATGAGTAAGAACAGACAAGGCCCTGCCCTCATATGGCTCACAGTCGAGTCAGGGAGACAATTATCAACCTCAGCCTCCAGACACAGTGTCTGCTCTAGTTACAAAGCTGGCAAGACGGAGCACAAAGGGCAGGGTCAGGGAAGCTGTGATATGGAGTTGGCCTGAGGTGGGCCTTTCCAGGCAGAGGGGAAGGCAGGTGCAGAGATCCTGAGGTGAAAGGCACGTGGCCCATTCCAGAAGGGAAAGACAGCCCACAAGGGGAGACTCAGAGAATAAGAGGGAATCTACTCCGGCATGACCCAGAGGCACAGGAAGCTGCTGAAGAGATTGCTGTTACATATATTTTTCATTATTTGCAGTGAGGAGTATAGTTGTTAATCAAGTTTGCAATTTAGAAAAATCCCATCACCTGTTCTAAGGGAAAGTTTTGTGGGAGACAAGAACAAGGGAAATCAGCCAAGTAACCTCTCTAGGAAAAGATGACAGTGGCCTGGACCAGGATGTACGAAGCAGGAACTGAGAGAATTAGAAGCTACTTTGTGTTCCAGGAGCACAGGTACAATCTCAGCACAGCAGTCTCCCGGGAATGACTTCACACCCTACTGGAGTCAGCCTCACCCAGTAATGTGGACCCCTACTTAAACCTCAGTCACCACACTACCCTCCACTGTCCTCGAGACAACTGTTTTCAGAATGTGCCTAGCCCAGAGCCTTTATCGTGGCCACCAGACTCCACCCCAAAAGGCCTACTTCACGTCAGTCCCAAGAAGCAGCAGCTGGACAGTGCTTCCTTCCCTCCTGGTGGCTCTGGGCTCCTGGTGGAAACTCATACTTGCTCCAGAGACCAGCTCTACGTACCAGGAATCTCAGAGAGAAGGACTTTGAATCTAGTCCCAAAACAGTTAATTAAGTGGGGGAATCACTTGCCCTGCCATTGCAGGTGGCTTTCCTCAGTCTATCAGTTCTGGTTTGAACTGTCCCTGCTCCCGGTGGACACAGAGTGAGCTGTGTCAGAATGTAAGTCTTCCTGGCTGGCTCTGAGAATGCTGAGCAGACCTCCAACAGCAGCCTATCCCTACCTCCACACAGGCTTTGGTCTGAGTGCTCTCTTGCAGGAAGAAGGAACACTTCCAGGTGGAAATCTTCCAAAAGCGTCTTCCCCAATCACCTTGTCACCAGACTGTTCTAAGCAAAAACTTTTTCATAAACTATCTTTGCCTTTGGCTGCTCACACACAAAGGTCACATAGTTGTCTGCCAGTGATAGCACACAAGTAGCCAGGGAAATGGCTTCAGAGGTTCCCACAGCTGGAATCCCAAGAGAAATTCTGATCAAGAAAGGGGAGATGAGATCATGAAGAGGAGGGAAAGAGAGACAGAAAAGCCCCAGAGAGCTAGAGAAGGACAGAGGCATGCTCATGTAGGTCATCTCATTCGTCTTCCTCCCAAGCTATATTTTCTTGTGGTCCCCCTATCGCATCAAAGTGACTAGACAATAAAGACAATATACCAGTATCAACGAGCACATCCAGCACTCAAACCTTGGCTTCTAAATGCCACCCACCACTCTTTGGTAAAATGGTTAATCCAGAGAGAGAGCACAGAAAGCACCACAGGAGCCTGGAATATCCTATTGTACTAAAAAGTAAGAAAGTGCTCAAGGACTGATGGAGATGTCAAAAGACACAGAAGCTGGTATGAATGGACCAAGTAGTACACAGAGAAGGAATGATGGAGTAGAAAATCATCAGTGTTTGAAAACTAATGGGTATTACAAAAAAAGGAGTGGGGGCCAGGGATTTAGATCAGTGGTGCCACTGCCTGCTTTGCAAGCATAAGGTCCCGAGTTTGATTCCCAGTACCAAAAAAAGAAAAACCTAATGGGTATTAGTTACAAAGAGAAAATAGTAACTATAGTGTGGGACTTGACAGATAAAACCAAGTGATCAAAGGTGACATCCCCAACAAGTAGAAAATTCAACAGTTGGCCTTCTGCTGTGATACCCACAAACACGCAACATTGCCTTGTGGCCATCTTACCAAAAGTGCATGACCTGAAACTATAATGAGCAAACACCAAACAGAATGTGAGTAGCTTCATTCTCTAAAATAATGACCCTACATTCTTCAAACAATGTCAAGTTCAAGAAACAAAGAAAGGCTGGCAAACTCTGCCAGATTGAAGGAGGCCAAAGGTATGTGACAGGCAATTGAGGGAAAGGAAAAAAAAGACAAAAAGAAAACAAGACTGGGACAACTGAAGATATGTGAATATGCACTGTGGACTAGGTAATAGTATTAGACCAATGTCAAATTTTCTGATCTTGAAAATTGTACTGTTTTTGTAAGAGAATATTCTGTCTTTACCAACAGACTATAAAGTATTCAAGAGTTAAAAAATGTATGATAGGGCTGGGGATTTAGCTTGGTGGTTCTACCACCTGCCTTGCAAGCATAAGGTCCCGAGTTCGATCCTTGGTACCAAAAAAAAAAAAAAAAAAAAAAAAAAAAAAAAAAAAAAAAAAAAAAAAAAAAAAAAAAAAAAAATGTATGATACACAAATGTATGAGAAAAAGTTCCAAAGGGCATAGAAATGGGTGAGCAAGGGACACACTTACCCTGTGACATGCCAGTTAACTTATTCTCAAACAATTCAGGAAAAAAAGTGTGGGTGTGTGTATATTTATAGGTATACTCTGATTAATATATGTGTAATACAGACCCTATTAAACACACACATATATATGAGGAATGAAGAGAGAATGATAAAGCTAAATAAGCAAAATAAAAACAATGGGTGAACTTAAAAGTATATGAGAATTTCTTGCAACTTCTCTGGAAGTTTGATATTACATTAAAATAAAATTTATGAAAAGATTCCTAATAATCAACAGTTGCATGGTGCTTACTGTGCCAGGTACAGTTCACAACCTTTTACACATTTTAACCCACATGGTATTACCTATCAGCAGTATCATCCATAGATGGGACACTCAGGCTCACAGCAGTTAGGTTACTTGCCCAAGTGTTCCCACCTGGCGAGATGGCAGAGCTAGGATTTGACCCCAGGTCAATGTATCTGGCTCCAGCCAGTATCCTGTGTTGCCCCATATGCTGTGCAGAAGCTGAGAATGAAACCCACACACAGGAGCATGTAAAGGAAGACATATACCCCTTACACAAGCATGCACACGTGCACACACTTGGGGCTGCCTAGTACAGATGGCCCATAGATCAAAATAATCTTCAGATCTGAACACAGAAGAGAACCTTTCAGATCAGAAAGGGCCTAGACAGATGTTCCATCCTGGAGCTTCCTGTGGCCTTGGGCTCAGTCTTACTTGTCTTCCCTTTTCCTTCCCTGGAGTTCTAAGCTTCTGTTTTTCTCCAAGCCTCCCCCACCTACCTTATGACCCCACAGCCAGAAATAAGGAATTTTTGGCCTTTGGGTGAACAATGGCTCAGGCTCTGGGGAAAGTGTGGGCCCAGATGGAGCAGTGGCCCAAAAGCCAAGTTGGGAGTGGAAAGCTGGGGGCTGACAGCCATGGGAACTCAAGGACCAGCCCCTGAAGTGCACGCATAAGCACCAGCTGTGCCGGCCCAGCAGCCAGTCACTGCAGGAATGGGTCTAGGAGGACACAGATGGCCTTCCTCCTTGGTACTCTGCCAAAACAGCCTGGGGAGTCTGCTCCCCACCAGGTGGAGCAGGAACTAAGTCTCAAAGCCAGGGCAGAGGGTTGAGGACAACGCTTGATTCGCTGTTTGTGCAGCTTGGCAGAGAAATGGGGTGAGGGAAGACGCTGACGTCTGAATTCAGAAGTGGAGTGGACCCCCACCACCACCCTCCCCGCTGAAGGGCCTGTCACAAGGCAGCCATGGCTCACACCTGCTTATCAGTGCTGGGGTGTGGAGAGGGTGTCTCAGACAGGAGATAGGGCTGGGACAGGGCTGTCCACACTGGCCCTGCTCGGCCTCCCTCACTCACACCTCCTCAGAGGCCCTTGGCCACTCTACACTGCCGTCTTCAGCCCACCCTGCTATGCCTCCCCTGAAAACTCCAAGGAAGGCTCTGCCCAGTACAAACAGGACACACCAACTGGAAAGGGGCCTTGGAGACTGCCTAGCCTAGCCCCTCACATAACAGGCAGGAAAACTGAGCAGCAAGGAGGCACCACTTACCTAAAACGTCAAAGTACGCATAAGAGCTAGTGCCGTAAGACAGACTCTGAGCCACAACAGAGCACGTAAAGGTCTGGGCTCAGCCTGTAAACGAGGAGAGGTTCCAAAGGCCACAATGATGGGGGCACCAGGGGCACTTACCCCTGAGGAGGGGCCAGAGTAAAGAGGGTGCAGTCATGTCATGTTGTCCGGGGCTCCACTCAGCTAGGGTAAACACCCCCAGGCCAGTGCTCTTCCATCGGTGCCCCAGGCCTGGTCTCTGTCACCTGTGTTTCAGTGGCATGGCTGGCAAGGGGTCCAACGCATTCTTAGAAGCAGCAGGGAGAGTGGAGGCAGGGGGCATGAGTAGGCACAGAGCATGTCAATTGGGAGCTGGCAGGAGAAGCCAGGGATCCTTCATGGGCAGTGAGAGGGAACTAAAATGTTGTGCTGCCTGGCAGTCTTAACAAGGAGCCAGCTGTGCTCAAGCCTCAGGGGTGCTAGGGCTCCGCTTGTCACTGCTCCCACCCCTGCCACCTTAGAGGACATCACCAGAGGTAGGATATCTTGTGCCTAGGAGTAACTGGGGCTAGAAGAGGAAAAAAAAACACATACATCTCAAAACCCAGGTTGAGGGTGGAGCTCTGCTTCCCTTGCCCCAGGCCCAAACACAAAAACCTTGCTCAGTACACTCTGCCACCCTCTTGTTCCCATCTTCCTACAGGGCAGGCTGCCTCAGACAGAGATGGACTCTGCAGAGCCTGCTGCAGGGGCCCCCGGGAAACACCCAGCAACCCAGCATGCTGTCAGCCACATTCAGCACCCAGTGTCATGAGACACAGGCTGCTGCTCTGCGTGGAATACCCTCAGACATGCCCATAACCAAGTGGCCCTTCGTCCCCAACCTCCCAACAGGGAAAATGAGCCATTAGGATACGTTCAGCTTTTCTGACTTGGGTAACTGCAAAACGTTTGATTACCCACTATCAGTAGAACACTCTGAGGGCCCCCAAAGGAGCCAGCTCCATGATGTACCTACCTCTAGGAAGTCAGCAGGGCACAGTAGGGTGAAGATGAGCAAATACATAAATGACTGAATTATAAAGCAAATGAAAAGAACTGAACTTCCTTCAGGGATTAAGGGTAAATAGATTTCGAGCTGGAAAACTGATAAACTCCTGCAGTTAAAATATCATTCACCTGTGAAATGGAATGAATAGTACCTCTGCTAATGATGTACTGCATATACTATGCTGGGAAAGTGCTTCATAAACTGTGAAGCCCTGACATGGTCAAAAGGTTGTAGCAACACATCACACGAAGACACAGGATTTGGAAGGAGACAGGACTGATTACACCTGTTCCACAGCTCAGCACTGTCCTGAGGTCAGACTCTGCTCTTCACCCTTCCAGAACAGCACCGTCTGCATCAGTCACTTGATTATTATTCTCAGGACACACAGTAACTGGCTACCATTTATTAAGAGTTTATTGAACTATATGCATTGCCGTCCAGTCCTTATACAATCCTGTAGGTCATTCTCAACCTGGGGATGAAACTCCATTCTGAGGATGTATCTGGCCAAGGCTACCCGCTGGAGAGTGGGGAAACCAAAAGGCTGGTGTCCCCTACCTACGGCAGAGCCCAGAACTCTTCTCTGGCCATGCTATGTATGCTATGGGGGTTCAGCAGCACAGCAGGCACCCTCCCTGTGCAACAACTCACAGGAAAACTGCCAAGGAAACCCATTTTCTGCCCTACAATTAATTTAGTGTTGTCCTTCTCTTTAAAGAAACAGAAATGAACTTAACTGAAATTATCAGAGCAAATTATCATAAGAAACGTGTTGGGTGACTGTGTGATGTGGATTGCCAATAAAACAAATTTTTTACCAAAGAGATCTTCCTTGGCTCTGTCTCATTCAATGTTTTTAACACATTGAAAGCCTGTTTATCCAATCTAATCCCAAAGCTGAGAGGCATAGCTAACATGTCAGATGGCCAAATCAGAATCGTCAAGAATGTAAACTTTAGTTTCTCTGGTGTGAAAAACTAAAAGTGTAAATAAGATCCAAATTGTGTAACTGACAATGTGAAATAGGAAGAAAAGGGCTAAAGGTGTAGGGAAAGTGGGAAGAGTAGGGGAAAGGAAATAAAGGAAAATAAAACATATGAGAAAAGGAAAAAATGGAAATGAAATAGGGAAGGGTGGAGGGGGTGAAGGGAGGGCAAGGGTAAGGGGAAAAACTGAGAACTAAGACCTGTCCTGTAAAGGTACAGGACCCCAATGATGAATGTAACTGTGTGTATACCTAAAATGTACCAATAAACTCAATACAAAAAAAAAGGGGGGGGATGTAAATTTTGTTTGAACATGGGTTGAAACTATAAGAGGAAATCTTAACAGTTGGGCATATGTAAAATTCCACATTTGTGTTTCAAAAACTGACTGTATGTATCTCGTGGGAAACCCATATGACAGCAGATCATGAAGAAAAGACCCAGGGCAGTTATCTGGAATGAGCTCCATATGAAGCCACAGTACAGTGAGAAGAGCGAGTGCCCCCAAGTGAGGTCAGTTCCCAACCCAACTCAGCAGTGCTGTCACATGTCCTAATGGCTTTGCTTTGACGTGACTGCTGTCACAGGGCATATAAAATCACGACAATGAAGGGCCTGGGATCCACAGGCATTTGAGAAATGAGCCACCCCAATGTCTTTATGAGCTTTATTTTAAAAGAAGGCAGGTACCAACCTTTGATGGAGAGGAGTCTTGTCTAACCTAGGACAGAGTTGGCCTGCTACTGATGGAAGAGTTACATGAAAGACTGCAGCTTAATTTTAAGAAACACTACTGTCTTAGTTACTTTTCTCATTGCTGAGACAAACAGCTGACAACTAAAATTAAAAGAGGAAAGGTTTGGGCCAGGGATTTAGCCCAATGGTTCTGCCACCTGCTTTGCAAGTGCAGTGGACCTGAGTTTGATCCCTGGTACAAAAAAAAAAAAAAAAAAAGAGGAAAGGTTTATTTTGGCTCAGTTTATAAAGGTTTCAGTCATAGTTGGCTGGCTCCAAGGCAGGGTGGCATAGCAGAGGGCACGGCAGAGGAGAAAGAGTTCATGACAGGCAGAAGGCAGGAAGTCAGCAAAGTAGTAAGGAAGCAGCAGCAGCAGTCTGCCTCTCCCTTTCATCCCTTCCAGGCTACCTACCCATTAGGTGGTACCACCCACACCCAGGTAGCCTTCCCATTATCCGCACCCAGAACTGTGCCAAACCAACCAGTGGACCAATTTCGTAATCACACACCTCAGATCCAACCATCTCTGACTCATGACCTCATGACTGCATGAGACTTTGGGAGACAACCAAACAACTACCTATTAAGAAAACTGTGGGCCAGGGATTTAGCTCAGCAGTTCGGTGGACCTGAGTTCAATCCCCGGTACAAAAACAAAACAAAAAAAAAAAAAAAAAAAAAAAAAAAA